TCACAAGACAAAGACCACTGCGGGACCTCGGGTCAGCTGCTCCCACTGCAGGGTACAAAGACCTCGGTGCTCTGGCACAATCTCCTGCACACAAGGGACCTCAGCTGATGGTCGCCCTACTGGCACACCAGACCCGGTCACTTCCACTTGGCTCTCCTGCCTTTTCTGCCTTTGGCCTCAATAAAATTCTCCTGCATCCCAGCCTGAGACGCCTCCTCTTCCTTTCTTCCACCAAGCTTTTCCAACTTCATTCGGCACAAAGCCAGGGCTCAACAGGAACTGGAGTGGGTCCACAACGGCCAGAATTTCTCTCCCAGGAAATACATCACCACCATTACTACCAACAACACAGACTGGCACCTGGGGTCTTCCAGAACATGACACCACACCATCACTTGCTCATCCAAAGGGCTTGAAACAAGAATGCTCCCCTGCACACACCTCTGACCATGTCTCCCCATGCCAGGACACACGTGACTCACTCTTTTCCCAGAAGAAATCTCTAGCGCTCCCAGTACACAGAAGCACAGAATCATTGCGTTCGGTAGCAGCCTCTGGAGAGCGCGTGCTTACAAGCCCCACTGCTCAAGCAGAGTCACGTGTAGGGCATGTTGTCCAAGACCACGGCCATTCAGGGCTTCAGTATCTCCCAGGATGGAGACTCCAGCACCTCTTCCACTCTTTCACCTCCCTCACACTGAAAAAGCCTTGCGATGGGCCTCTGCCCACGCAATTCCACCTCTTTTCACTTGGGCCTCTTCTCCTGACACTCAGCGCAAGCCTCTGGGCACAGCCCTTCAGCCCCTCTGTACTCCCACGTCACTGGCCACTTACAAAACCGATGCTTTCCCAGCTGTATTGCGTTTCTGTGGCAAGGTCTTGGGAGCGGCGGGGGCTACAGGGGTGGCTTCTGTGAGAAGCTGCTAGTTTTCCCTGTGTCCACTGCTGGCCGAGGCCAAGCCCATCAGCGGCAGTGGTAGCGCCTTTGTAATAACATATTTAAGAAGGAAAAAAACTGGCTGTGGCTTAGTAGCCAGAGAGAGAAGAGAAGTGAGAGGATGTGAGAAAAAACAGCCCTGCAGACAAAAAGGTCAGTGAAAAAGGAGGGGGAGGAGGTGCTCCAGGTGCCAGAGCAGAGATTCCCCTGCAGCCCATGGTGAAGACCACGGTGAGGCAGGCTGTCCCCCTTCAGCCCATGGAGGTCCACAGCGGAGCAGATATCCACCTGTAGCCCATGGAGGACCCCACACCGGAGTGGGTGGATGCCAAAAGGGAGGAGGCTGTGACTCCGG